CCTCACCACGGCCCGCCTCGCATGTCCAGTACTACTTGCTGTGCGATGCATAAGCCCGCCGTTCGCGCGCGTGATTTCGTTTGCTTATTTTTCTGTTCTATATCACTCAAGAAGAATCTGTTGCTTGCCACGTTTAACAAATATTTTGTTGTTCATTACTGGTCACAAATTATTTTCCGTTGTTTTTGATTTCTATTGTCCCGCCCTCAATATATATTATATATAATAGTACATTTATCGGCTTCTTGTGTGATTATTGTGGTCCGTAGTTGCAAAGGAATCCAATTTTTACCGCTAATGGTCGTCTATCAAGCTGTAACGTTATCTACACTTGTATAACTTGTTTACGTTTTAGACTAATGTTGATATTTCGATTCCTGCCTCCTGCTGCTGTGAAAACCTTTCATTGGTGGTCGGAGTGCGTGATGATACTCGGTCCACATGTCTTTGAAATAGAAACGGATTTTACTGAAATTGAAACATTATACTGAAGATCATTACGTTTGTAGAACTGAAATTATTTCGTGCTTGAGTTGGCATTAATATGTCCTGAACAATAATACTTATAAAGTGTTTTTACAAAGCCAATTCTCGATCCCCGTTTTTAGGCAAAGCTCTTCATAGTCTAGCAATATCCTGCTTATGTAGTTACGTTGCGGTCGGACCTTTAGGGCGATTGCGGCACCTGGACACATTGCACAACAGCGTGGACAAGGGACGCTATCGGATAAGTCGGGCGTGTTGTGTTGATGCAAAAAGGCTTTAGTACGTGCGGGCACTGTGGCGATGCGCAGCGACCTAATTCGTTTTCGCGTATTGAGATGGACGACGGGGCACAGTTCCGCTGCACTCGTTTGTCGGTGCCTGTGGAGCGTCTGGCTGCGAATCTTTTGGACTACAACCAACGACTATGGAACACTGAATGCTTACGGATTTCTGTATGCAGTACACTATGCCAACGTTTTGTGCTCGTAGAACAAAAGTATTTTAAAAAAAAACTGTTCCACGTTGTGTCTAAATCAATCAGTATAGTGCGAGGATGTGAATGGTAAGATTCTTGAGAACAATTAGACTTAAATTTCATTGTTCGAAAACGTAACAATTTATCTTTGTCAAATGGTATTCTGGGGTGAAAATTACTTTACCGCTGTCTAAAAATATTGAGGTGGAATTTCGATCTACTGCAAGAGACGAATAATACAACACATTTAATGACGTGCCCTACATCGCTGACATTGTAATTTCGCAATTATGAAGGAGAGCACGCTGAATAGAGTTTCCTTTTTATGCGCAGGGCGCGTCCAGTCGAAAGACTTTCTGGGCGCAAGGACCCCGTTCGACTTCATTTACTCGTTTCCTTTCAACGAACGATTCCCGAGTTTCGCGAGTCGCGTCTTGGAAGTCCGGGGGATACCCCGTGCATGCGCACGTCCGCTCGGAATGGTTCGTCAGGAGGGAGCGTGTAAATCGGGTGTTTCGGAACTGCGCGGGGCGGGCGGCGCGCCGCGACGGCAGGCGGGTCCCGGCCCCACGAGACCTCTCTCTTTGCCAGTCATCGAGCCGCGGCGGGTATTACGCGGCGCATTAAGCGCCACTCAACCCCCGCGTCACCTCGCCCCTTCTCCCCTTCGCGCCTCCTCGGCGCGGCGCACCCCCTCCGCCCCACCCCGCCTCACGGCAGATAAGCCCCGCGCCGGCCGGGACAATTTCCGCCGCCGAAGCCACCGCCGACGCCGACGCATTCATATCCTGGATTACTGCAGTCAGTCCGCCTGCCTGCAGGAAACGTTGCGATCCGAGTGGTAATGATGCTGACTGGGTTTTTGCGGACGAGTTCCGCCTGCTAAATGCTCAATGCTGTTAATGGGAGCGCCAAATGAATATGAAGGTACTTTTTCAGGTTTGATTAATTCTGACATTCGAAGATGATTAAGATGATGTTTTTGGTTCGGTGTATTTCTCGCTATGTTTTAGTTTGTGTTGTGATATGTATTGTAAATCCTGCACACAGTTGTGCAAGGGGGAGGCAGAGCTGATCGCATGAAACTCAGATATTTGCATCCATTGAGAATCTTCTATTTTGCGTTGCCGTAGATGATATCAATTTGTAATTTCACAAAGAAATCTAAAGATTTCCTTTTCTAATATGGGAGCATTTTCCATATACTTCTATATTATCATTGTCATTAATATACCTATATTTAAATAAAAGGGAATATGCGTATTTGTGTCGCACACATATTAAAAACTACTCGTCCAATTTCGCTCAAATTCTCACACTTCGTTCTGATGAGTAATGGGCGTGTTTAAGGAGTAGCTTGAATGAAGTTGGACATGTGGGGCGTTGTTAATGATGATTTATTCGTTTATGACTACTCTAGTGCCCCTGAACTCTACGCAACCCATCGCACCGTCCCTTGACGGTGCGATCCTTAATCCTTATTAAGCGCGACTTCACTGCATACAAGTATTCTGCCCCTGCGATTGTGACATATCGACTGTAGTTATTACTTGAATTTTGGACAAGTAAATCAAATGTCTCCCATATATTGCCGTAGAGAGCGCATGCCCAAATTTGAGGGGTAATGATTTAACATTAGGATACTTGGCAACCATGTCCAGCACATAGAAGAAACACATACTTGCTAGAAAGTCTGGTCTATTAGAATTTTTGCATAGCGTAGCGTAAAACGTGATTAATAATCACGTGATCTGTAGTGTGTAATGTGTAATACACTGCAATAGCGAAGAATTGCCGGGTACCACTAATAAATAATGAACTATTCACATCCTTTCATTTTTACTCTATCATGGAAAAAACATCGGATTTTCTTAACAGTCTCAAGACAAGGTCTATTTTCATTATTAAAATCACGTGTGTCATTATGTAAAATATCACTGTGCAGTTAGGAACAGGGTAACGTAAGATAGTGATTTCACTAAATGACTTCAAAACCAAAATTCATTTGAAAATACATATTCAGTTAAAGTAATTGAACCCCCAAGATGAAAACATTCCGTATGTTTCTACTTCAGAAAATAAGTGACAGGTTCAATATCCTAGCTGTAATTGTAAATGGTTGGTTTATACAAACGTCCACATTGAAATTCTGAGCGGCTTAGGTGGCTCGGTAGGAGTCCGCGGATGGCGGTGTATTACATCAACACGAGAATTATGGCTGCCGGCTGCTCTGAACGGGAAGTTATCCGTGGTTTCTCCAATCAACTCTAAGCGATTTCTAGAGCAGTATCCT